CTTTCTGAATATAAATATAGAAGTATGTTATCCACACAACCTATTTTACTTCTCTCACACCTCTTACTAATTTATGTCCTTTGATATTCTTCAATTCATCCGATCCAACGGTTGAAAATTAAAAAGGTGTGAGAGAAGTAAAAAGAGGTGTGTGAATATCACACCCCTAAATATATTTGTACCCAAAAAAGCATGGAACGTGGAGAGAATCTAGAAAATGTTAAAACACATAAAAATTAATATAATTAAAAAATTGATAATGTCTTTGGCGAGTTTCGTTCTCTCAATAACTTGGTCTAAGCGACAATGATCATCTGGTGAAGAATTTATTATTAAAAATTGAGATTAAAAAATTAAAATTTTTTTTTTAAAGTTTTTATATTTAAGATTGTCATAATTCTTTATTTTGATCATGAGATTGTCCATCATCAATTATTTTAATCATTATGTGAAAAATCTCGTTTAATTGAAAGACCAAAATGATTGACGATGGACAATCTCAAACTACTCGTATTCATTTTAAATCTATGTTAATCTCAAAAGCCAATTTAGCTAAAAAGCTTAAATGAATATTTCTACCCTTTATATGAAATACAAAAATGAATAATCATGTATTCGTTGATCATCAGATGACTGAGAGAATATATATCTTTTATCTCACATTTCCTCAGAAACCCAGGAAAAAAAGTAATAATTAAATGTGGGAAAAAATCATTGGAGCAAAAGCCATGGAAAAAGAAGAGACTGGGGGGCATAATATTAGAATAAATGTGAAAACCACAAGTTGACAAATTTAAGGTCACTGTTGTTCTTGAACAAGTCATTTGTTTTTTAGGTCGAAAACAAGTCATTTGTTCTTGTTGGTTTTTGAGTTCTCTGAGTGTGGGGAGATTAAAAAGGAAAGATATCTCTGTGTTTGGGATGTGGGAAATTGAAAAGGAAAGATATCTCTCATCAGATTCTGGTCCAGCAGCAGATCTGATTTAATCTGTGTCTTGTCTTGTCTCCGGAGACAGTAATCTCAGTTTTTTCTTTTCTTTTTCTGATTGTTTAATGTTAGTCCAGAGCATAAGTACCTACTTTTGTTGCTGCTGTTTTGTATCGCGGCTGTGAATTTTGATGGAGTTGGGTTGGTTTCTGGATCGGTGGAAATTGGTGAATTTGTAGGAATATCCTGATAAAGCTCCGCGGGAGGTTATTAACCATATGAGATAATTTTCAATTCTCAATTTTCCATTTTAATTTTCAATTTTTCAGTTTACTCTGCAGATTAATTTGTAATTTAGTTATCTGTAATCTGTTTCTTTTATAAATTTGTTTGTATATTTGATTGTATATATAATTATATATGTGTGTGTATACATAATTTTATAGCTCTGGTTCTGCTGTTTTTGAATCTAGGCTTAGATTTTGGACCGTGTTTATTTCTTAACATATAAGATGAACAGTCTTAATTCGAATTTTGAATGGTAACTTGGAGTTGCTTGTAGCTTAAGATAGTAAATTCTTTCCTTTCGAGAAAATTGAGCCGCGGTTTTTTGACCGGAATCTTGGATGGATCATCGACAGGAAAGGAACATTCGGTTGAAATGTGCTAATGTGGAGCTAGGATTGATGATAATCTCTGACAAATGAAAGGCAGTTTTGAAATTATGTGTTAAAAGCTAGGCCGTGTCACGGGTTCTTGCTGATTTACTCTATCTTCTGAGTATAAATTTCTGCTTTCTTAGTTAATTAGTTTTCTGGTGTGAAATACGACTGAAAATTTCAGAACTAGTGAGCTGTGTCGGGTTTTAGTGTGCAGTCTGATGATGTTGTTCTACTATTGTTTTGACAGTACTGAGGCTAAGTTGAATTCTCACTATATCTAAGTTGAATTTTGCTAATGCTTTTCGGGTTAATTGCGGGAATGGGAATTGAAGTGCAGTCGAAGATGTACTTCCCGGGATATTGTTCCATACGGAATCTAAGCAGCAATGTTGGCCATGGGAGCTGGTCCCTACTCCACGAGAACACAAACTTGAAGAATGGGCAACAATGCGAAGTGTTCTTGACAAGGCCAGTTATTGATGGATTTCACAGACGCGATAATGAGCAACTGAGGCAAACTATTCTGAAGCATGAGTCAATTTTCAGGCATCAGGTGTATATTCTAGAACCTATATCTGTTGAGTTCTAAAGTGTAGTAATGGTCATAGATTTTATCATAAAAAGATTGAATTACAATTTTCAGGCATCCTCATATGCATGTTAGTCGGTATGTCTGCAAAAAGGGAGGGGCGGGTGAAACAGGTTTTTCTGAAATGTCTTAATGTCTGTAGAATTCATTATTAGAGAAGAAACTCTCTTACCTTATTTTGGAGTTGGATAACATGACTATGTAGAAGTTTTTCCTCCGTCGTTTACTTTACTGCTAATAAAGCTCAAGAGTAGAACGCGAAATGTTGCAGTTCTCGTCATTTTGGACTAATAGATTGATATGTGTTATTTCAGAGCAAACAAGAAGTTCTTCTGGTGGAAGTTTTAGTCTTCAAGATTTTAATAAGCCATGTGAATCATCAGAAAACGAAGCTAGGATATCATGTGATCCTCCACCTAAGCTTTTCACTTCTGATCTGAATAAAACGGAGAAACGAATCAAGAGGACACTTTTTGGTATAGAAATCTCTGAAAGAGATATAAGTTCATCTGCTATGGCTTCGCAGCCTGATGCAGCAATTTCCGAGTCATCTCCTAATTGGACAGTACCTCCAAGTAGCTTGAGCCGAAACTTAACATCAATTCAAATCAGCACTTCTGTTAATACCTCCTCCACACAATCTGATAGGGCTTCAATCATGATGCCACAAAGCCATGAAGTAACCAGGGAAAGATTGCTTCTAGACTGTAATTCAATACCGTCAACTCCTAGTCTGAAGGACAAAGTGTCACACCAGTGCGGTTTTTTCTTCCGCGCTAAGTTGGAGGCCAATGAATTATAGGTTGTCACCCCTCAATAAGGCTTGCTTGCCAAGGGAACCTTTCAAGTTCAGGTCATCGGGTGGATGTCAAACCTACAATTGATGTGAATGTTGTTCCTCCTCATAAATATCTGCATCGAGTAGCTTGTGAACAAAATATAATCTCTCTCAATGGACTGAGGAACCAAGGAAGATTGCATTGGCTTGAAGCGGTGCCACTTCGCAATGGTAAATTTTCAAAGAAATTGAAAGCGGATGCATGTGTAGAGAGCAACTGAAAGCAGACGGTCCGGTTCAAGAAAAGGGATTCTCAAATGAGATTTCTGGTTCAAGACAACAAATAGATTTAAATAGATGTTTAACTGAAGAAGAAACTGAAACGACTGCCGCTTCCCCAATTATGAGGACAGGAACTGTGATAGATTTGGAGGCACCGGTGATAGTTGAAACAAATATATATGGGGAAGATTCCACTGAAAGAAGACGTAAGGAACCTCTTGACTCACCTTAAACGACTCCCTTCTTTGGTTTGCAGAATTAATTTCTTCACTTGATGGAAATTTTGACAATGGAAATGCGGCAGAGGTTAAGCCAACTTCCTGTGACGAAGAGGCTTTTCCAGTTGACATGGATTATTTTGAGCAAATGACATTAAATTTGTTGGAAACAAAAGAAGAGCAGCCATGCTATTTGCCTCCAAATTCAGACAGCCTCATAGAAGAAGCGACATTGTCAAAACGGCCACGAAGAGGCCAATCGAGGAGGGGGAGGCAACGGAAGGACTTCCAGAGAGATGTACTTCCCGGTCTTGCTTCTTTGTCAAAAAATGAGGTGACTGATGATCTTCAAATAATTGAAGGGTTGATTAGGGAATCTGCTGGGAGTTGGCAATCAAGTTTGTCAGAAAGAAATTCTGGTAAGGGTGGTAGGGGAAGGGGGAGGAAACGTATGGACACTTCCGATCCGTCTACTATTGTGGCTGAAGTTAGCCAGCCCCAGATTGAGCTACCAAAATGCGAGGAAATGCAGGGACCTGAGGAGAGAAATTTAACCTGTTGGGGTAAGAGGACATGGCGTCCGTCAACTAATGTGGCTGAAGTTAGCCAGCCCCAGATTGAGCAACCAAAATGCAAGGAGCTGCAGGGACCTGTGGAGAGAAATTTAACCTGTTGGGGTAAGAGGACAAGGCGTCCACCACGGCAAAGATATCCGATTGATAATTCTCATGTTCCTCAAAAAATAAACATAGAGAGCGGTCATTTCCGTAGAGAAACTATTGAAATTCAGTTTAACAAAACTGTTGGTATTTTTCATTGTATATTGGTATTGCAAGAGATGGCTTTTATAGAGAGACCGAGCTGAGTAAAAAACCCATTGAACAATTACAAAAAAATAGCAACAAGAAAGAGACCAAGAGATAAAAAGGCTAGCCCTAGTTGCAAGTTACAAGAAAGCTAGAGCTGAGATACTAGAAGACATAAACCCTAGAATTAAGGGATAGTTGGTAACAAAAAACGACGGTTTAGTAGCAGCTGCAACTCTACCTGAGAATGAGGGCTAGAGTTGCAGTTGCAACTTGAACATTGATAAGTTGTGATGTGCCTTGAGCAACCTTCCAACATAGACCCAAGTAGACACTAGCATGCTCAATACTCCCCCTCAAGCTGGATCAAGTGGATTAATTGATCCAAGCTTGCTCAGCAATCTTTGGAAATGAGCAGAGTCGAGAGCTTTTGTGAATAAGTCAGCAAGTTGATTGGAACTTCGAGTGTACACTGTGTTGATGACGTTGGATTGGACCTGAGCACGGATGTAATGACAATCAACCTCAATATGCTTTGTCCTCTCGTGAAAAACTGGGTTCGAAGCTATGTGCATGGTAGCTTGGTTGTCACAAAATACAAACATAGGTTTCATGTCGATGTAGCGAAGGTCAGCTAGGAGACTCTTTAACTAGATTAATTCACAAGTCGTGGATGCCATGGCTCTATACTCAGCCTCAGCACTTGATCGTGCAATCACCGTTTGTTTTTCACTCTTCTATGTCACAAGATTACCACCAACAAATGTACAGAAACTAGTTATAGACTTATGATCGAGGGCATTACCTGCCCAGTCAGCATCTGTGAATGCCATAATGTGATTTGAGCCATGTTTCTTCATGAGCAAGTCTCTGCCAATTGACCCCTTCAAGTATCTAAGAATCCTTTTGACAATCTCCCAGTGAATCAATGTGGGAGAGTGCATAAATTGGCTGACAAGGCTTACTGAATAAGCAATGTCAGGTCGTGTAATTGTGAGGTAGATCAGCTTTCCTACAATACATTGATAGACACTAGGGTTTGACAGTGGTTCACTTTGAGCATCTAATTGAAGTTTACTCACAAGAGGGGTATGTCCTAGCTTGCAGTCCAACATGTGAGCTTCATCTAATAGATCAAGTAAATATCTTCTTTGATTTAGGAACAAACCCTTGGAGGATGTGGCCATTTCAATGCCAAGAAAGTACTTTAAGATTCCCAAATCCTTAAGAGCAAATTGTTAATGAAGAAAGGATTTAAGGGCATTGATTTCTTCTATGTTGTCGCCTGTTATAATAAGGTCATCAACATATATAAGGACAATGAGCTTACCATTTGTACCATTGCGAACAAACAATGACTAATCGGCATGACTCCTCTTGAACCCTGCAGCTTCAAGAACTGAGCTTAACTTCGAGTACCAGGCTCGGGGAGATTGCTTGAGTCCATATATAGCCTTGTGAAGTTTGCAAACTTTGTTAGTTTCATGCTCTTGTGGATGTCCGGGAGGAAGCTTCATGTATACCTCTTCTTCAAGCTCACCATGGAGGAATGCATTTTTCACATCCATTTGAAATAGAGACCAATCATGATTAACTGCGACAGACAACAACACTCGTACCGTGCTCATTTTGGCTACAAGAGCAAACGTCTCTTTCTAGTCAATGCCATAAGTTTGTGTGAAACCACGGGCTACTAATTGAGCCTTATGTCTTTCAATACTGCCATTTGAATGAAACTTTGTCTTGTATATCCACCTACTCCCTACTGCCATTTTTCCCTTTGGAAGATCAACCACACTCCATGTTTGGTTGTCATTCAGTGCTTTGAGCTCTTCTTTCATTGCTTCCTGCTATACTTGAATGTGAGAAACTTCATTAAAGTTCCTTGGTTCAACATTAGTGGACAATTGATTGAGAAATGCTGCATAGGATGTGGACATTTTTTGATAGGTTAAAGCTTTGGAGATGGGATGTCTTGCATTGTACGTAATGTACTCTTGCAACCTTAATGGAGGATGCCTGTCTCGAGTAAGATTTCTTCGTGGTGCCAAGACAGGTTGTGGTGCAGTGACTGAGTTTTCTTGATCATGAGTTGTTTCTTCACCATCATGTTGCTCCGAGTGATGTTCGAGAGGAACATTTTTAGGATTGCATTCATTTAGGTGTGCTGGGGTAGACAAAGGAAATATATCTATAAGACTCTCCCCATGAGGTGCTTCACTGCAACCTTTGTGAAAAAATAGAGTATGCTCATCAAATCAAACATCTCTTGAGACTCTAATCTTTCCATTATGAGGATTGTAGTATTTATATCCTTTTTGAGAGCTTGAGTATCCCATAAACACACTTTTGACAACTCTAGGTTCGAGCTTATCTCGATGTGCAGCTTGAACATGTACATAACAGGTGCATCAAAAGGTTCTGAGGTGTGAGATGTCAATATGCCTTCCCTTCATTACTTCAACATGTGATTTTGAATTCAAAACATGAGTAGGTAATTTGTTGATGATGTAAGTTGCAGTGAGAATGGCCTGAGACTAAATCCTTTTGGGAACATGCATTCGAAACATAAGGGACCTTGTTTTCTCCAATAAGTAATGGTTCTTTCTCTCAGCTACACCATTTTGTTGTGGTGTACCAACACAACTAGTTTGATGTAAAATCCCATGATTGCCCAAATAATTAAACATGTTATGGGATGTATACTCAGTGCCATTGTCCGATTGTAAGATTTTTAACTTAGATGAGAATTGGTTTGTGATCAGTTTATGAAAGTCTTTGAAAGCATAAAAAAATTCACTCTTGAACTTTAAAAGATAAACCCAGGTGACCTGAGAGTAGTCATCAATAAAAGTGACATAGTATTTATATCCATCAAATGAGTCTACACGAGAAGGACCATAGATATCTAAGTGAACAACCTCAAATAGTTTACTAGTTCTAGACTTGGAAGAAACAAAAGGAAGTCTAGTTGCTTTTGACATTTGACATATATCACACTCATGTGGTGGTTTACAAAAATTAGGAAAAAGTTTGGTCATCACAGGTTTTGAGGGATGGGCCAGTCGAAGATGCCAAAGTTAGTATTCTTGAAGGAGACTTAGGCTGGCAATAGGGTGTTTAACATGCTTGAACTTCTTTGAAAGATAATAGAGTCCATTTAAGAGAAACCCTTCACCAATCTTCTTCCGAGTAACTCGATCCTAAAATACAACATTGTGAGGAAAGAATATGGCAAGGCAATCTAAAGTGGTTGTGATTTTTCCTATGGACAAAAGCTAGAAAGGGAATGAAGGTACATACAAAGCTGTTGACTCGATCTCATCACTTAACAGTTTAAGTTTTTCTTTCCTAGAATAGGTACTCTTTTCCATTTGCTACAGACACATGTGTAGATTTAGGCATATTTTGAAACTTATCTAAGCAAGAAGACTTGTTTGTTATATGGTCAGTGGCACCTGAGTCCATAATCCAACAATCATGTATAATTTCATTGAGTGCAGTGGACAGGGCAGTGATAATATTTGAAACATTGTCTTCAGTTGTGGTCTCAGTCAAGAAACCTGGGAATTTTCCGAGCATGGCAGTAGGATTCTTAGTGGTCACTTCCTCATCTTTAGTGGTGCCTCCTCTTCTTTGAAGAAAACTTGCAAATTCATTTATCAAATCTATTGGATTTGCAGTGAAGTTTGCAATTCCACCAATCGAAAAACTAGTTGAATGGAGAGCCTTTGGAGTGGTTCTTTTCCCTTCTTTGATCATTCTTCCTTCCTTATCAAACCTTGGTTTTAACTCTGGGTGCAACATCCAGCATTTTTCTCTTTGATGCCCTTTCATGTTGCAATAAGTACATTTCCAATTTACCTTCTTTCCAGTAAAAAATTTTTCACCAGTGTGTTTATGATTGCTAGTGAAAGCCCTAGCCTCAGAGTTAGACTTAGGCTCAATGTGCATGACTTTTCTTCGAGTTTCCTCCCTTTGAACAGCTTGAAAAACACTATTAAATGAGGGCATATCAGGTGTCATCAACAAATGACTTCGTAGATTTTCATATTCAGCTCCTAGACTTGCCAGGAGTTGAAACACTTTGTCTTCATCAGCTCTTTTAAGGAGTGCAGCGGAATCGGTTGTATGTGGTCGGTACATGTCGAGTTCATTCCACATGGACTTTATGCTTCCAAGGTGTTGCACGAAGGATTGGTCACCTTGCCTTAGCCCAGCAAGGTCCTTGAGTTGAAATATACGAGCAACACTGTTTTGGCTACCATACATCTCTTTGATAGATTCCCACAAAATACGAGAGGATTATGAGTAGTTGAAGAACTCAGATAGCTTAGGTTCCATTAAATTAAGTATCCAGGACATAACAAGCTGATCATTTGCATGCCATGCACCATACGATACAGAGGATGGTTGATGTGTTTCAATGCTTCCATTGACATACCCTAGCTTCGATCTTCCACCTAGAGCAAGAGAAATGGCACGGGACTAAGGTAGGTAATTGAACTCGTTTAGCAACACAGAGCACATATGCTGATTTGGATTGATCTCACCATGAATTATACTGCGAGGTAGAGTGTTTAAAGAGCTTATAGCTTCTTGGCTTGAAGCCTGATCTTCTACCATTACGGTGAATGAAGAACAAAAGAAACAAAGTTTTTTTTTTTTGAATGAATCGGACTACAGAGATAGGACCCTATGGTTCCTGCTTTGATATCATATTGATATTCAGTTTAACAAAACTATTTGTATTTTTCATTGTATATTGGTATTACAAGAGATGGCTCTTATAGAGAGACCGAGCTGGGTAAAAAATCCATTGAACAATTACAAAAAAATAGCAACAAGAAAGAAACCAAGAGATAAAAAGGCTAGCCCTAGTTGCAAGTTACAAGAAAGCTAGAGCTGAGATACTAGAAGACATAAACCCTAGAATTAAGGGATAGTTGGTAACAAAAAATGACGGTTTAGTAACAGTTGTAACTCTACCCAAGAATGAGGGCTAGAGTTGCAGTTGCAACTTGAACATTGATGAGTTGTGATGTGCCTCGAGCAACCTTCCAACATAGACCCAAGTAGACATTTGCATGCTCATACCCGGTCAGTTTCAATAGAAACAGAAGTGCATCGGAGTAAAGCTAACATGCATGGATCTTCCCCTCAGATTTTTTAAAATCGGAGTAAAGCTAACATGCATGGATCTTCCCCTCAGATTTTTTAAACCGTGGAGTTGTAATTGTACACAATCCTTAACTTTGTTTCCGGTATTCTGAATGAACTTGTATGATTAATCTTTTAATTATAGAAAATTTGAAATACAAAATAAAATTTTGGGTAAATATCAGTTTACTACCTTCAAGTTTCATGGTTTTCAACATTTAGTTCATGAAGTTTTTTTCGTCCCGGAGTCATATCTAAAGTATTAATTTTGGGACAGTCTCATACATCCGTTAATCTGGCTGTTAAGTCTTCCGTTAACTGATGACGTGGCACCCATGTGGATAATGACTGGGCGCCACGTGTCATTAAGGGGGTCCACGTGAAAATTAAAAATTCAAAAAAAAAAAAAAACCCACATGTCTTTTACCTCCCCCAACCCCCTCCCTCTATTCTTTCCTTTGCCCGTACCCTCCCTCAAATGCCTAAGATTGTTTCCCAATTGAGAACTTTTTTGGTCTCTCTCAGAGTCTTCTCTCTTTATCTCAACAGACAAAGTAAAAAGATATCAACCCTTAATTTTCTGCGAGCAAACACAACGTAGTAAAAATTTTGATAATCAAACTTCAAAAAGCAGAGCAAGCATCTAGATTGTGGTATCGCTTCCTAATCTATTTCAATTGCAAGAAACGTTTGGAATTGTGACAATATTGGCCACGAAACCAAAATTAAAACCCTCAAAATCCAATATTTTTATAGAAATTTTAAACAATTGAGAGAAGAAAAGCAAAAAGCCCTAAAATCCGAATCAACAGATCTGAGAGAAACCCTAACAAAGAAGACGAAATAAACACACAGGTGTAAAGCTATAAAGCACAACTGGAATAGAAAAAAAGTAAGATAGAAAGAAGCATTAGGGAAGTAAACGTACGTGAAGGAGCATAGACGAGAGTGCAATCGAACCAGAGCTCGACCTTGCACCTGTCATCTTCGCTCTCGTCTTTTATGAAGTCGAAGAAACGTGGAGCCG